TGAATGTGTTGCGGATTCTGTACCAATAGAATATAAAAGAAATGCAGTAGAGTTATGGAGAAGTGGAACAAAAAAGTCAAGAACTCTTGCATCTATAAGAAATAGATTTCGGAAAGTCACGTCATTACGTCAATTAAGAAGATGGGAGCAGCAAGTAAATCAAGGTGGCAACAGATTTGATAAACTGAAAGAAATTTCAACATATACGTTAAATAAATTCCATGAAGGTATTGAAAAGGGAATAATTATTCATGACATTGATATTGCTCGATGGGCTCTTCGCGCACAGAAGGAAGTAAATCTACTTGGGTTTACAGCATCATTATCATGGGTAAAAAGGTTTAAGCTTGCACATAATATCGTATCTAGAAAAATTACAAAATTTATAACAAAAAAAAATTTAGCGTCAGACAAAGATTTAGAAGCACGAAGCAAGTCATTTATCGAAAATGTTAAATCTTCTATTATACAATATGGAATTGAAAATGTATATAATTCGGACCAAAGTGGATTTCAATTAGAATTTCATTCCGGTCGTTCACTATCACCTATTGGTATTAAAAAAGTAGAGCGCATAGTACAATCCATATCAGCAACTACACATAGTTATACTATACAACCTATTGTTTCAGCTGATGGTAGATTATTATCGCCTCTGTTTATTGTTTTAAAAGAACCTACTGGAACATTTGGTCCAATAGTAAAAGAAACAATGTTTAAAGATAATAATATCTTTGTCATGGCATCAAAATCTGGAAAATTAACATCGCATCATTTTGAGATCTGGATAAAAGAAGTGTTTTTTCCAAATGTTGGACCAAAATCAGTGTTATTATTAGATTCTTGGACTGGTCATTGTCCTGATATAATTCAAAGAAACAAACCAGATTTTATAGACAATATTAATTTGTTAACTATACCAGCTGGAGCAACGGGAAAAATACAACCTTTAGATGTATTCGGTTTTCGTTTATGGAAAAATTTTGTTAGACATTTTTCAGATACCATCATGCTTTTAGATCTTGACGTCAAGCTTCATTCAAGAAACAATATTTTAAAATTACAATCATTAACACATAATCAATTTTCATCACCAAGGTTTAAAAATTTATTCAAATATGCATGGTATAAAAGTGGTTATTTAGAAAAGAAACCAGAAGAATTTGATACACCAGTAGATTTTTGTTTCAAAACTAATTTAAAACCAACATGTGATATTTGCGGTGAAATTGCTGTAATTTCTTGCGCATGGTGTAAAAAATCCCTTTGTATAAATCATTTCTTTCATGATCATCATCTTTGTAACCGATATCAACCATGAATATTTGTTATTCTTGTATGCAATAATTATGTACGGTATTTTATGTAATATTTCCATATACATATATATAATGACTTCGGAATACAACTTTATTATATATGATTGAATTTGTCGTTAAATGAGCTATAAGTTTTGTTATGAGACAAATTTAAAAATTTTCAAACATTAAAAGGGAGGGGGGGGGATTTCGAAAAATATGACATTTTCGACAAATCTGATTATATGATTTTGAAGTACATTAAAGACCATAAAACTTTTATTTGAAACTTTTGTTTATATCTCTTATCGCTTCGACGGTATCCGCTGAGAAATGAAAAAATCGATTTTTTTCAAGAAGGTGTTTCACCCCCTTAACGGCCGACTCAGCACTTATAAAAAAATACGTGTCTCCTATTTTGATCTAGACTACAACATATTCAAAGCTCATTAAAATCGGAGGAGGACACTTCCGACCCTTTCCTTGTAAGTTATATAAGCGTTTCAACGTTGATAAGTCAAATATTTCATCGGCACTCGAATAAAAAAACATTTATAATTTTAACTTACAGAACATAATCTTGCATTTGGACCTGGTGTCCAATCTGTTTGATTCATATTTTGGATCCAGATTTTTTTTCTTTCTGGATCTTTAGGGAATCGGCACATCTGAAACCCTTTTGCATGGGAATTAGTGCAATAATCAGCACTGCAACCGCAAGGCATTATACAATCTATCCACCTTGACACAAAAATAAAAAATTTTTTTGAGGTTATATTGCTTACAAACATCATATCGGAAAAATTACGCAGATGTTTATATTTTAGAAACAAGAATTAACAGTCCTCGCGTTACAACTTACAACTTACTACATGTTCGTATCACGGTATCACGTTACGCACATTAACAGTCGTAATGCAGTATAGCCATAGGCCATAACATAACGTGGTAATAGTGCCTTCTCTCTCGCTCACTCCCTGTCTCTCTCTATCTTAGTATGTTCTTTCTTTCTCGCACTTCCGGTTTTACACCAGGCGACGGAGCCAATCAGAAATCATTAACGTTCTGCCGATCTCTCCTTTTAGGATCTCTATTTTAGCCTATCCACCGCGATGTTGATTGCCTTTCCCCTGATTTTGAGTTTGTAGGTTTTCGTGCCTCTGTTTAACACCTCGTCGTAAGGCTGTTGGAGGGCCCCTGCCGGTGCGTCGTGTCGCACGAACACGTGTGAAGCCGTCTCCATGTCTTTAAAAACGAACATTGCCCTTTGTCCGTGTCGTTTGATTTGGGGCTGTAGTCGTGTCATTGTCCGTCGAAGCCTGGCTACCAAAGTGTCCTCATTTTCGTAGTTATTGTTGTGGCCATCGAAGAACTGTCCTGGTAACCGGATTGGTTCTCCGTAAACCATCTCGGCTGGTGTGGACTTCAGATCCTCTTTTCATGCTGCCCTGATGCCGAGGAGGATGACTGGTAGCGTCTGGGTCCAAGCTTCCGTCTCGTGGCACCTGATAGCTGCCTTCAACTGTCGGTGGAATCTTTCTACCATCCCGTTTACATCTGGGTGATAGGCTGTTGTCCTGATGTGCTTTGTGCCCGTCATCTTTGTTAAGCTCTGGAAAAGCTCGGCCTCGAATTGCCGACCCTGGTCCGTAGTTATTTGAGCTGGTGTGCCGAATCGCGCTATCCAGTCTGAAAAAATATGTTTAGCGACGGTCTCTGCCGTGATGTTCGGTATTGGGATTGCTTCTGCCCATCGCGTGAATCTATCCACGATGGTGAGGCAGTATCTGTGTCCCTCTGACACTGGCAGTGGTCCTACAATGTCTGTGTGTATGTGCTGAAATCGTTTTGTTGATTGTTGGAAAGTTCCTGGTTGTGTGTGATTGTGTCTCATCACTTTAGCTTTCTGACACTGTATGCATGTTTTTGCCCAGTTCATGCAATTTCGCTGCATTCTTGGCCAGACATATCTTTCTTTGACCAGTTTTGCCGATGCTTTAGTCCCTGGATGAGCCAGTCCATGTAGGTAACGAAAAATTTGTTCTCTTAGACTTTTCGACACGTTTGGTCTAACAATCGGTGTGCTAGTGTCGCACCAAGTTGCCTCTGCTGATCTTGGTATTACAATGCGCGTCAGCTTAATTTTTTCTTTATCTTTTAGTAGTTCTTCCAACTCTGCATCCTGTTGTTCGTGCGCTATTGTTTCCAACCCTACTGCTGCGTGTATCGCCTCCACTCGTGACAATGCGTCGGCCACTGTGTTATTCTTCCCTTCGATATGTTGGATATCTGTTGTAAATTGTCCAATGTATTCTAAATGTCTTGCTTGTCTCGGCGAACTCTGCAGTGGGTCTTTTTTGAAAGCGTAAATTAGTGGCTTGTGGTCAGTAAATATTGTGAATATTCTGCCTTCTAATAAGTGTTGGTAGTGCTTGATGATGATGTAGATAGCTAGTAGCTCTCTGTCGTACGGACTGTACTTCGTTTGTGCTGTACTGAACTTTTTGCTCAGGAATGCCAGTGGCTGCCATCCATTAGTGGTTCTTTGCTGGATTACGGCACCCATGGCCATGTCTGAAGCGTCTGTTGTTACTGCCAATTTAGCTGCTGGGTCTGGGTGAGCTAATAGCGTGATTCTCGACAAGCTTCCCTTGCATTGGTCGAAGGCTTGTGCTTGCTCTAGCCCCCAACTTATTGGTGTTGTTCTCTTGATTTTAGGTCCTTTTAGCACGTCGTTTAATGTGGCTTGTTTTTCGGCTGCTCTCGGAATGAACCTTCGATAAAAATTAATCATCCCTAGGAATTGTCGTAACTGTTTAATCGTAGTCGGCCGAGGGAAATTTTTGATCGCCTCTATCTTCTCTGGCAGTGGTTGAGTTCCTTTCTCCGTGACCAAATAACCAAGGAACTTCACTTCGTCTGCTCCGAAGATGCGCTTGGCTGGGTTGATTCTGACCCCGTATTCGTCGAGTCGGGTGAATAATTGGTTCAGGTGGATTTTATGCTGTTCTTTACTTGATGATGTCATCAGTATATCATCGATATACGCGTAGCAGAAATCTAACCCGTGCAAAATCTCGTTGATAAACCGTTGGAACGTCTGCGCTGCGTTGCGTAATCCAAACGGCATGTATCTGAATTCGAACAGTCCGAACGGTGTAGTTATTGCTGTCTTTGGTATATCTTCTTCTCGCACTGGGATTTGATTATAAGCTCTGACCAGATCGATCGTGGTGAAGATCTTTTTCTGGTAGAGCGTCTGTGCAAAATCCTCGATGTGTGGAATCGGATATTGATCGGGTATTGTTCTGGCGTTTAATCTCCTGTAGTCTCCACATGGACGCCAAGTCTTGTCCTTTTTCGGTACCATGTGAAGTGGCGACGACCAAGCACTTTTTGAGGGCTGGATGATGCCTTCTTGCAGGAGTAAGTCGAATTCTATCTTGGCCGCGCGTAGTTTATCTGGCGCAAGCCTTCGTGGCCTGCTGGCTTTTGGTGGGCCTGCTGTTGTCTGAATATGATGTTGTGTTCCGTGTGCCGTCACCTCCTTTGTTCTGGATGATTTGGTGATGTCCGGAAACTTCGCCAATAGTGCGTGGAATTCGCTTTTTTCCGTCGTTGTTTTGATTGACAAGATCGAATTGTAGCATCTAGTGCCTGTAGTTGCTAGGCTTGTCTTGCCATCTATGAGTTTTCCCCTTTTCATGTCCGGAAGGAGATCGTAATGTGCCAGGAAGTGCTCCGATTATTGGCTGTCCCACGTCTGCTACTACGAATCTCCGGGAACGCTCTCCTTAAATTAAAATCAGGCTTGATAGTGATGAAGCCGTATGTGATGATAGGTGTGCCGTTCGCCGCGAAGAGTTCGTACGCCTCTGGTCGTCTCTTGCCGTTTACTGTTGTTTGTGGATAGACGCTGACGTCTGAGCCGGTGTCCACCAAGTACTTTGTCCTTGTGTTCCGGTCTGTCACGTATAAGCGGCAATGTGTCGGGCTTTTGTCATTGGCCGCTAACAATGAGTGCCCTACTCGTTTGTCTGGAATGTACATGGCTGAGCACATCGGTGAGCTTCTGCGCCGAATCGTCGATGATAGTAACAAAGTCCCTCTTTGGCTGGTGTTCTACTGCGAGGTTTGCCTCGTGACCGACTTCGTGCTCGGCTGCGTCCTCTCCGCAGCTCTTTGGCCATGTTTGTAAGCCGTTCGGTGAGAGTTGCCACCTGCAGGGTGAGCGCTTCCATCTGCGTAGTCAGTGTATTCTGGCTGCTGGTTGCTGCTGCTGCTGCTGCTGGCCTATGATCTGTGGCAAGAACGAGAGCTCTACTGTCGATCTCATGGATGTGGTCTGCCTGTTCTGCCACGTCTTGCAGCTTGTCGCCTTTTCTCGTTGCGAGGATTGCCTGGGTCTGCGGCGGAAGACGTCCTAGACAGAGTGTCCATAATAAGTCGTCGGAGACTGTCGTTCCTGCCAGCGTTGATAGGTGTCGGAGAAACTGCGAAGGCTTTCTATCTCCAAGCTCCTCTTTTTCCAGAAGCTGCCTGATCCGCTGCTCTTGCGAATCTGTCAGTCGTTGAATCAGCGCGTGCTTTATAGCTGAATATTTGTTGCTGGGGAGATTGGTGATTACGTCTTTGATTTCCCTCGCTTGCCGTGGCTCTAATTTTGACAAAACGTAGCCATATCTGACGTCATCGTCGGTGATGGCGCCTAGTGTGAACTGCCCTTCCAGCTGTGCAAACCAAAGTTCCGGATCTTCTGGCCAGAAAGGTGGGGTGCGCACTGCGACTCTATTGACGGTCTCGTCGTCTTCCACTATGATAGTACTCTCCTTCTTCGGCATGGTCGTACCTCTTCCTATGTCGGTGGGTCACCAACTTATGGCGTCGTATGGTTGCGTGTTCGTTCGATCTTAGTCGGAAGAGTATTGACTACTGGCCGCAAAATGGTGACGAGGTTTGCGCTTGAATCAATTACTCGCAGTATGGATATCTATGTACAGTTTATTTTACACGTTTATTTACAGGGCCCTGAAAAGGGCCGTTTGTATGCACGCGTTCCCGGTACGAAATCCGCGGAGTCGCCTTAGTGTAAAGGAGCGTTCCCCAGGAGCTGTCGTCGTTATTGTTGACGTCCACATCCGGTTTTCGGCGCTTCGGTGGCTCAGTCTGCGTGGCCGCCGTGCTCGTGGACGCCTCCTAGTCGGAGTCGGACTGGGTCTCCTAGTCCGCCGTTGATTTCGGCGGCTGCGTCACTCCTGGAGTCACTGCTGGACTCCTCCTGTGTGTCCGGCTGACTGCGGTGGTCTGCGTCTCCTGTGATGTCCAGTTGATCGGAGATGGAGGCAGAGGAGATAGAGCCGCTGGAACTGCCCAGAATGCTGGTGGTGAAGTATATCGTTGTATCCTGATGTCCCCAGTGACTAGCAACTCCCTCGGTGGCCTGGCGAAGCGAGGTGGCTCCAGGTCGATTGACTGCAGTATCCAAGGCAGCATGGTAAAGGACACTCTTCTCTCCGGCTCGGCAGCTGCACCGTACGACGGTCGAAGTGGCCCGGGTGATCGGGGCGTCGACGCTGGTCGAGGAATGCGGCTCGGCTGGCGGTGAATGTTTTCGGAAGTTTTACCTTCCAATTCCAAAAGAGGAATACTCTAGCTGATTGACGTATAGTGTTATTGATAGTCGGTCCCTATAGTCGGTTCGAGCTGAGACTCGAATTCGGCTTGCCGTGGTCGGCCTTATATACGGGTCCCGCCGGATTTCACTTGCGCGAAGATCGGCGCCTGTATGTTCGAGCTGCCGCGCGCGTACTTGTGTGCCTAGATTGCCGTGCGGCCAGGCGCTCGGCGTTATACGCCGTTATGCTAATGTGGCGTAAGGCAGGACGCCACATGTATATATATACATATATATATTGTACACTGGGCGACAACGATTCGTTCCGTGACCCCTCTCGCGGGGCAAGGGGAACGTAGACATATATCATAGCGCCATCAGGCGGCAGCGGCCAACTAGTCCTGATTTATCGATCTAATTACCGATCGCTACAAAATAATACTCTGGGTCGATAATGGACAGAGTTGGTAATACACACGCGCGGTTTAATTATACGAGAATAAATCATTAATATAAGGAGGCAGAAAAGGAATGAATGATACATTAAAATACAATGTTTTTTAAAAATTTTTAAATGAAATTTCCGCACGAATGTTCTAACGTTAAATAAATGGTGGCTCTGAAAAGAACCGTTTACTTAGCTCTAAAAAGAACTGTTTAGTAATCAGTCCACCACCCATTTCGCTCAACAACTTGATTTAGCCTTTTCTCAATGGATTCACGTAGGTTTGTGAAAAGTTCAGGCTTCTGCCTGAGATTTTCCCACGCATTCTTTGCACGCATAATTAATTGTGCTTTAGTTCTTTCATGGCCAGGATCCCATGAATTTACGATTGCTGCCCAAATATTTTCAATTAAATTGAGATCCGGAGATTTCGCTGGCCAATTAAGGACTTCAATTTCTGGATGTTGAGCAAACCATTCCTGTACTATGCCGGCGGTGTGCACTGGACTATTATCCTGAACTAGTCGAAAGACAATTTAGAGGAAATAAGTCTCGCCACCGAAAATGAAATGTTAAAAGTGGAAGTGGCAGACTTACAACGACAATTAGCAGCTGCAACCATAAAAATGCAGCAGCAACAAGGACAGCTTCCACAAAGACAAACTTTTTTGCAAACATTGCAAACTCCATCACAACCTCCAGAACCTCCGCAACCTCCACAATCAGGCACTAAAAATGAGGCATCCAAAATGTCTCCGGAGAAAAATAAATGTTAGTATAAAAGTTCATTCGAAGAAAAATATTAAATAATAATAAAAAAAATAAGTATTAATATAAAAAAAGGAATAATAGAGTAAATAATAATAATAAAATAATAATAATTAAATTAATCTAATAATAAATAAATAATAATAACAAATAATCATAAGAAATAATATAATAAATAAATAATAATAACAAATAATAATAATAAATAATGAATAAATAAATAATAATAATAATAATAATAAAGTAAATCTAGTAATAAATAATATTAATAAATTATAATATTCAAATATAAGATATAATAGTAATATTAATAATAATAATAATATAATAGTAATGATAGCAATATTAATAATATAGGAGTAATGATAAAAATATTAATAATAATAAATATAAGTGAAATTTATGTAAAGAAATTTATAAAAATATAAATAAATATAAATAGTATAAATAATATAAATAATATAAAATAATATAAAAAATATAAATAAAAGAAGTAATAATAAAAATATAAATAATATAAATAAAAGAAATAATAAAAATTAAAATATATAAATTCATAAATAAGTAAATAAAATAAGAACAACATTAATAATATAATAAACATGAGAGCAATAATAATAATATAATAGAAATAATAATAATATAAATAAAAGAAATAATAAAAATATAAATAATATAAATGAAAGAAATAATAAAAATATAAATGTATAAGTACACATAAATCAAATGTAAATACATAATCCTTTAACATATTATATATTAATTAGTCATTCTTAATTTTTAGTAAAATATAAAACTGCTCAATGGAATCGAGGAGGTCATGGACGAAATCACGGACGTGGAGGAGGAAAAGTAACATTATATTTTAATATGTGGTAAAGTATACAAATAAATTTAATAATTTATTAATAACCTATACACACACACGCGCGCGCGCGCAAATATATATATATATATATATACAGGGTGCTAAAAAAGTATCGCATACGCTCAGTGCCATCCGATAGAGAATGAGAATTTAAGAAAAAATGTCTAATACTATTTTTCGATCCCATAAATAATTTCGCCGCATTGATTATTGTAAGTCAGTTAATCAGCATGGAGTTACAAGAGGAAGCCAGGGGCGAAGCGCGCAAAGTCTGCGGCACGACGGCTACCGCGCTAGTCGTCGCGCCACAGACTTCGCGCGCTTCGCCACTGGCTTCCTCTTGTAGCTCCGCGCTGATTAATTGATTATAATAATTAATTGCGGCGAAATTATGGGATCGAAAAATACTATTAGACATTTTTTCTTAAATTCTCCTTCTCTAACGGATAGCACTAAGCGTATGCGATACTTTTTTAACACCCTGTATATATATATATATATATATATATACAGGGTCTACCAAAAGTGTGGAAACCCCTAAATATCTCGGAAAATATACGTTTTACAGAAAAGTGTTTCCAACAAAAGTTGTAGGGTTTAAGAAGATCTATATACTGATTCTATCAGTTTGACCTTGGATGGCGTCGTCAAGGTCAGGTCAAGGTCACATTGACTTTTTTAAATGACACCCCCTACATTTGATTGCATATTCTTATAGCTTAATTCAAGAGCTTTCCAAAACACTATAATAATGTTCATTTTTATTAAGTACTTTGCGAGTTATGAGGGTTGAAATAATTTCTTAATTTTACATAAACCATAAAATATCTAGTAAACCATTCATTTTTCGATTATCTTACCTTCATACTTTTATGTACAAATTAATGAGAGGAATCAATTGGTGTAAAGAAAACACATAGTTGTTTCTAAGAAAAAATATGTAATTTGCAATTAACAATTCCATATTTTTTCTTAAAAACAACTGTATGTTTTCTTTACACCAATTGATTCCTTTCATTATTTTGTACATAAAAGTATGAAGGTAAGATAATCGAAAAATGAATGGTTTACTAGATATTTTATGGTTTATGTAAAATTAAGAAATTATTTCAACCCTCATAACTCGCAAAGTACTTAATAAAAATGAACATTATTATAGTGTTTTGGAAAGCTCTTGAATTAAGCTATAAGAATATGCAATCAAATGTAGGGGGTGTCATTTAAAAAAGTCAATGTGACCTTGACCTGACTTTGACGACGCCATCCAAGGTCAAACTGATAGAATCAGTATATAGATCTTCTTAAACCCTACAACTTTTGTTGGAAACACTTTTCTGTAAAACGTATATTTTCCGAGATATTTAGGGGTTTCCACACTTTTGGTAGACCCTGTATATATATATATATATATCTTTAAACTTTGTTACAGATATGTTGATCCCAAGCAAAAACTGCGTTGAAAAAACGCTGGAGAAGATTACGAAAAAAAAAATAACTTAAATATGTTACTTTTATATGTTAACAAATATATTAATAATACTTTTAACTAAAATAACTTAAATATGTTAGTAGGTATACTATGTCAGTTTTAACCCAGGACCTCTCAGGGGGGGTGAGGCGCGAGGGGAACCGCAGTGCGGGGGGGGGAATGACATCACGCGCGGGGAAGGAGGAACCGCGGCGCGCGTTGGGTGACGTCACCCGCGGGGAAAGGGGATCCGCGGCGCGAGCGATGGACGAGGGGGTCCGCGCGGTGAAGGGGGATCCGCGGCGCGAGCGATGGACGAGGGGGTCTGCGCGGGGAAGGGGGATCCGCGGCGCGACCGATAGATGGTGGTGTGAGAAGGACAGCGCTACGTATGGGAAAAGGACAGTGCAAAGTGTGAAGAGGACAATGCTACGAGTGCGACAAGGATGGCGTTAACGTGGGACAAGGACGACGTATAGGTGGAAGAAGGACGACGCAAAGGTACGTGAACAACGAGTATATTCTAAGCGAAAGAAAGAGAACGATAATATCGAGAATAACAACGCGTGCGAGAAAGAACAATAGCGCAAGAACAACGCGAGTGAGAACTCATATGAAAGAGAGAACGATAGCGCCAAAACGACGTGTACAAGAGAGAGAACGATAATAGTGCGAAGA